ATGAAGGTCTAGTCAGAGACATATTAGAGGCAGAAACAGGAGTTAGGAGGGGTAGAGGTAGACCTAGATTAGATTACTGTTCGCAAATAGTTAAGGATGTGGGATGTTCTAGTTTTAGGGAAATGCGAAGTTTAGCTCAGGATAGGAAAGAGTGGAGGTACGTGTCCAACCAGTCTTAGGACTGATGACCTTATGATGATGATAGTAGGGATATTAAAATTATTATTGAGCGTGTTCATTAAGAAATCCTATTCACGAATAAGTCAGTCTTACTAATATTTTATTACTGTTATAATTTAATATATTTTTGGATATAACGTATTTAAGAATACTTCGAAAGGAAATTGCTAAATTAATCGACTGATGAGTACCTACTTTTGATCGTTATTATAAAGCTTTCCTCTATAACGGGGCATTCATGTTATTCTAAAAATTAATTATCTTTTTGTTTGGTAAGAAAACACTTAATGCCATTGCTGTTGATAGTATCATAAAACATAGTTAATCCGTATCGTCTTCAGTTTTCCGCCTTTATTTACTGCTTGTAATAATAAATGAATTTTATGAATTATATTTTCGCTGTTATTAAACTTGGATAAGTACATATATATATACAAAAATCGTTGAACAAAAATGTTTTATCATGGTATAAAAAGGATTATATATTGAAGAAGAAAAGTATAATTTAGAAATATTTAAAAGAAAATAGCTCAGTTTTGTATTAAAACAGTTCTAGAACAAAGCCGATTGAGAGCTCGAAAATAAGAAAGCAACAACTTAAAAGAATCCTGCTGATGTTTAAGGGATCTACTGGTATCAACGAACAATATTTTTATAGTCCTTTGGCGCATCCGTCAATTTTGCTTTTGAGTCCCTTTTTACAATAAAATTTGATTTATATTACTATAAATTCTCAATTTATTTAGAATATCTGGGGTATCGTTATATGTATACTGTACTCATACAGTTTATTGCCAAGTAACTTTTCGATAAAACATTCACATTTATTTATTTGTATGATAACAACAAAAAAACACTTCAAGAAACGTATGCCAATTTTATAACAAACTTCCTCCAAGAATTTACACCCTATAAGTACGCCCCTAATACCTCTATTCACAAGAAAGCAGAACTTTGTAGTTTCTTAAAGGTTGTAGGTCATGTAACGAAATGTTGACAGAATATTAAACATTCAACGCATATCGATAATAGAGTGCTCTATATTTGGCTTATTTTTTGTAGAATTTTATTCGTTTGCTAAGTTTATTATAATCTTAACTAATATTATAAATGGAAATGTGAATTTGTTAGGGGTACAGAAAAGGACATAGAAGACAAAGAAAAAATATTGTTCCCGAGAAATAGTAGAACTAGTTTTGTGTAGTCGTCGATGATCGCTGAGCAATTCCTAATCATGACAATTAATACTTTACTTAGTATTTACATAGAAATATTACATACTTAAACCAGTTTTCGTACGATGCGTTATGATCTTCCATATTCAAGACGCACTTGTTACGCAATTCTCCCATATAAACTTGTAATGCGAACAGGGCAAAAACCATTAAACAAAAGATGGTAAGCGTCATTACTTCCGCTAGCTGCTTGAACGAATGTAACAGAGCGTTGATGATAGTCTTCAAGCCTGTAAGAGAATTTTTGCCTTACATGACAATATTTTTATATAAGTCAAATTCTATCAAAAAAGAAAACAATAAAATTTAATGCTTGAAGTGTAAACACAATCTGTTAATAAATTGTAAAAAAAGAGAAAAATGTTTAATCAAAGGAATCTGTCAGAATAAAGGGTTCGTTAAAACAAAAAACATGAATTTCTTTAGTAAACTACAGTAGACACCCGTAGTGTAAACATCGCATAACGCAAACTCCGCATATAGTGAACAGCGTATTATTTATGCAACTTTTGCTTCTTTTCAGTTGAAAGGGTTAAACGAAATTATTGATTGTAAGTACAACCTATTATTGCATTAACTGTCTTGTGTTAGTTGAGATAAAATGCACGACGTTTTGTAATCTTACCTGGCATTATGGAAACTGTTTTAAGTGCTCTAAGGACACGAAAAGTCCGCAATCCTGCCAAATTGCCCACATCCATACCGATAGTTGCATAACCGCTTGTAATGACCACGAAGTCGAGCCAGTTCCACGGATTGCGGAGATAAGTGTACTTATTGATGATAAAGCCTTTCGCTACGCTCTTGATTATCATCTCGCCTGTATATATTGCTAAAAAAATATATCTGAAAAGATAGAGACACATTGATAGGCATTTGAACGGAATTTACACAAAGCTTTCGATAAATTAATTTACCTAACCTATTTATTTAGTTATTATTTATTACTGAATTGAGTTAGAGATAGCTTTAAATAAAATGGAAGCGGCATTGAAAAAACAGTACTGTATAAAAATAAATAAAACTAAAACAAAAATACTGGTATGCAAGGGGAAAAAGTAGGGAAAGAGCGAATATAAAGGTAGGAGACGAAAAATTAAAAGAAGTGACCGATTTTAGGTATCTAGGAAGTCAGATAAATCAGGACGAAGGAGTAGTAGGGATATAAAGCAGAGGATAGTGCAGGTCGAATCGCCTTCAATAAAAAGAAGTCACTTCTATGCTCGCAAACGGTTAATTTAGAAATTCGAAAAAGGCTGTTAAAGGTGTATGTTTGGAGAGCGGCGCTGTACGGGTGCGAAACATGGGCGGTAGGCGCGGCGGAAAAGAAAAGGTTAGAAGCGTTCGAAATGTGGTGTTACAGGCGAATGATGAGGATACCGTGGATAGAAAAGGTTAGAAAAGAAGATATATTAGAAATAATAGGAAAACAGAGGAATCTATGGAAGTCAATAAGAAGTAGGGTGTAAGGTTAGTAGGACACCTTCTCAGGCATGAAAGTCTAGTCAGAGACAAATTAGAGGCAGAAACAGGAGTAAACCTAGATTAGATTACTGTTCGTAAATAGTTAAGGATGTACGATGTTCTAGTTTTAGGGAAATGCGAAGATGAGCTCAGGATAGGAAAGAGTGGAGGTGCGTGTCCAACCAGTCTTAAGACTGACGACCGTATGATGATGAGTGATTGAATTTTATTCATTACTTTTAATGATTACTTAGTTTAAATTTAATTTAATCTTCACAATTTTGTGTTTGGTAACATTTAAGTAATTCCCAGCGAGGACCATATTAAACTTCTAGCATCTTTTACCTTGTGGAATTTGTATATTATATGTATACTATATTGCACACTGTATACTAAGTATATACTCAAAACTAGAACACGGGCTATTTAAATGACAAAGGGCATTCTTGAGATGAACTTTGTTTTTAAAAGTTTCATTCTTCTACTTGTTTTACGAACAATTCAACCTTTGCATGACAATTTTCAAAGATAAAAGATGTATTGCTGTTTCAGACATACCCCTTTCTGCGAAAAAAGGGCAAAGGAATAGGGAAAAATATTCTATACAATTCTTTTATTTCATAAATGCAAGTTGAACATAGGTATAGATAAACTACTATTTGCAGAACATATATTCTATTTACATGCAAGTGATCGTTTAGATTGAGAGATAAGGGAGATTGAAAATAGATGTACTTAAAAAACAAACACCGAATGAAAAATCTTTATTGTTACTTTCTATTTTAAATGCCTTTAAATACCTACTAATTGCAGATTAATATTTTTAAAATCATTTTTACTGCGTAATTTGAATAGTGTAAAATGTTCAAACAGGATGCTTTACCTCGTTAAGATTTACTTAGCGTTCTCCTTTTTAAACCGAAACATAATTCTTGTACATCGTTTCAGCTTAGACGATAAACCGTGTATCTACATAATTAAAGTGCACATTTCATGTTTTATTTTCCCACCAAGCAGAAATCACTTCCGTTGTGTACTCCAACGTTTATACGCTAGATGCACATCAAACGCTGCAGAGCAAAAATGTCTTTTCTATGTGTACAACAATGAAGGATTAAACAAGAAAAACAACTGCTTATTACTTACGATTAGTATCAAACATTGTAAGGATGTGAAGTATTATTTGAAAGTAGATTATACAAGCGATTATCACAGAAACTTAAAAAAGTGATTTCATCAAGAGAAATGGGATCATCGATGAACTATGAAAAATTTCTATGGACGATAATTCTTGTAAAATGCACAAGAAACTCGTACAATTGGATGTATGAAATTTATTGTTAATGTTAGGTGATACGGCAGTATTAGCAGCAAGCAAGGAGGAGTTAGAGATAGCTTTAAATAAAACGGAAGCGGTATTGATAAAACAGTATTGTATGAAGATAAATAAAAGTAAAACAAAAATAGTCGTATGCGAGGGAAGAAAAAGTAAGAGCTAATACAAAGATAGGAGATGAAAAATTAGAAGTGGCTGATGTGGAAAGTCAGATAAGTAAGGACGGAAGGAGTAGAAAGGATATAAAGCAGAGGATAGCGCGGGATCGAGTCGCCTTCAATAAAAGTACGTCACTTCTATGTTGGCGAACGGCTAATTTAGAAACTCTAAAAAGATTGTTAAAGGCGTATGTTTGGGTGCGAAACATGAACGGTGAGCGCAACGTAAAAGAAAAGATTAGAAGCGCTCGAAATGTAGTGTTACAAGTGAATGATGAGGATACCGTGGATAGAGAAGGTTAGAAACGGAGAGATATTAGAAAGAATAGAAAAGGTCCTCCTCTTTTATCTATTAAAGTCAATCAAAGATAGGTGAGATAGGTTGGTAGAACACCTTCTTAGGCATGAAAGGCTAGTCAAAGACATGCTAGAGGCCGAAACAGGAGTTAAGAATAGTAAAGGTAGATCTAGATAAGCTTACTGTTCGCAAACAGTTAAGGATGATGTAAATGCTAAGATTAACTCAGGATAGAAAAGATTGGAGGTGCGTGTCCAATCAGTCTTAGGTTTGACGACCTTATGATGATGAATGTCAAATTCTTTACCTTCCGTATTCTTGAAGTATAAATTCGATCACTTATGGGATAACCAGGACCTTGATATGATCAATATTGTGCTCTCTTTTATTAGACATAAGTAGTAATAAAAAGATATGGTTTCGAAAATGATGTGGCTAGGACAAAATACTCAATAAATATACATCACGAGATCAAGGTCCTGCTCATGGTTTTTATCAGAATTCTGGTCCAGTGTAGTTTAGCCGTATTATATATTACAAAATATTCTATAAAAGTTGGTGTAACAGAACTTTTCACAGATTGTCACGAAAATGTTAGCAAAACTGTGAACATTTGTTAATCGATTGTCCTTTATACAATAGCCTGCGAGACACTTACACAAGCATCGACATGGTTTAAACTCTAAAATTGCCAAATAAAGGGGAAACTAAATTGTTCCGCTTTTACGTTACAAGTATCTTGAAATTGAGGACTTTAGCTTTAGGAAACAAGAAAATTGAATAAATATAACCAGGCGAATTCGAATATGTATTCTCATGAAAAGTAATATCGAATATTGATGGCAGACAGTAGTCAGTAAAACAATTACTAAGAATATTGATTCTATTTTATATTAAACAGTATCAAGAGCGTTTATTACTTCGTTAAATTGGTATTGTTCGTGTAATCTATGGATTTCAAGCCAGGAGATCATTAATAATTGAGAAAATATTACTGTTCCGCAGTTTGTATGGAGTAACTACTCGACGTTGCGCGGCTTCTAAACGAACAATACGATCATCATTAGTGCCTTGAATCATTTATAAGAAGTTCACCTCCTTTACCTCGCATTAATGAATAATAAGAGTCATTAGTTCCTTTCAAAGACGGAAACGTTTTCTACTGGTGTGATATCTCGAAAATATAACACGCCATGGAATTATTGCTTCACATTGTTTTTTGTACGTACAATTGCTGGATTATTTATCAGCATGCAACCCTTCAAGGTATAATTCTGATATCGATGTGAGTCCAAGCAGGAGGCTAAAATAATTATTGCGATAAGAAATTTATTTAATTTGGTTTAATTGAGATAGCTTTAAATAAAATGGAAGCGGTACTGACAGATCAGTACGGTATGAAAATAAATAAAAGTAAAACTAAAATACTGATATGCAAGGGAAGAAAAAGTAAGGAAAGAGCGAATATAAAGATAGGAGACGAAAAATTAGAAGAAGTGGCTGATTTTAGATACCTAGGAAGTCAGATAAGTGAGGATGGAAGGAGTAGTAGGGATATAAAGCAGAGGATAGCGCAGGGTCGTGTCGCCTTTAATAAAAAGAAGTCACTTCTATGCTCGCGAACGGTTAATTTAGAAATTCGAAAAAGGTTGTTAAAGGTGTATGTTTGGAGCACGGCGTTGTACAGGTGCGAAACATGGACAGTGGGAGCGGCGGAAAATAAAAGGTTAGAAGCGTTCGAAATGTGGTGTTATAGGCGGATGATGAGGATATCGTGGGTAGAAAAGGTTAGAAATGAAGAGGTATTGGAAAGAATAGGAGAACAGAGGACTCTATGGAAGTCAATAAAAAATAGGCGAGATAGGTTGGTAGGACACCTCCTGAGGCATGAAGGTCTAGTCAGAGACATATTAGAGGCAGAAACAGGAGTTAGGAGGGGTAGAGGTAGACCTAGATTAGATTACTGTTCGCAAATAGTTAAGGATGTGGGTTGTTCTAGTTTTAGGGAAATGCGAAGTTTAGCTCAGGATAGGAAAGAGTGGAGGTACGTGTCCAACCAGTCTTAGGACTGATGACCTTATGATGATGATGATGGTTTAATTGAAAATGAGAATTAAAATGTTAGTAGAAGTAAAATGCGAAGATTAGTTCGTGTTGTTGGGAGGTTTTCAAATACTTTTTTTAATTAACACAGTTGGTTATGGAAATGAAAGGGGCAAATTCAAATATGCAAGGAAGTTTGTTTAGTCCAGTTTATTAAGAAAACAACAAAAGTTCGCTAGTTGTTGTACGGTTTGAACAATAGAGACGTAGATGGAATTATACCACAAAGTTAGGGTGTGACAACATCATGACATGACAAACAAACATGTGAAACTACCACAGCTGTATACATGTTTTGTCGCTACAGTTTGCGATAGTATTATATAATATTGGAAGTTTAAGAACCACGAAAACACTGTCGCAACTATCATGAGTTAATATGTAAGTATTTTCTTCAGATCGCCAACATAGAAGTGACGTCTTTTTATTGAAGGCGACTCGATCCTGCGTTATCCTTTGCTTTATATCCCTACCACTCCTTCCGTCCTGTCTTATCTGACTTCCTAGATATCTAATTCTGCGTCTCCCATCTTTATATTCGTTCTTTGCCTTTTTCCCTTGCGTACAAGTATTTTTGTTTTACTTTTATTTATTTTTATACAATACTGTTTTGTCAATGCCGCTTCCATTTTATTTTAAGCTATCTCTTACTCCNTAATATGTCTCTGACTAGACCTTCATGCCTGAGAAGATGTCCTACCAACCTATATCGCCTATTTTTTATTTTCAACAAAAATTTTTTCTAAGCAAAGAGAAATGTAAATTAAAAAAAATGTTTGCATTAAAAGCAAACTACAATGCTGAAAACATGCATAAATTTTATATAGAAGATCTTATTCTTGGTTTAAAATTGTCACGATTCTCAGTTTGAGGGAGCGATTAGATGGGATAATAAGTATCGCCGACTGTCTAAAATTCATGACTGTAGTCTTAAGAGAGTATTCACATGTCGAGCAGAAACGTCTAATGCCTCCGACGTCGTCTTATCGTGCGATAGCATGAATTTTACAGAATCCCCTACATTTTGATCCTCATTCAATCGCTCCTTCAAGGGAAAAATCGTTTAGTTTGTTAGGCAATAAAATTCCTTGGATTTTTTTAAATTTAATTTTATCTTAACTCTAGATTTTGCAAGATAGATACACACACACACACACACACACACACACACACACAGCCAATACTGTTTTGTCAATGCCGCTTCCATTTTATTTTAAGCTATCTCTTACTCCTCCTGCTAAGCAAACTAATCCTTTGCCCCTGTATATCTATCCCTATAGTTGTACTGTCTTTAATGATGTTGATCGCGTTTTCGATAAATATTATAAAAAGTAGCGGTGGCAGTGTGCATCCTTGTCTGACTTCCTTCCTAATATTTCCTCCTTTACGCTGCTGCTCCTGCTCTATAAAACTGCCTGTTACTCTTTATACAAACTAAGTATCACTCTTCTATCTCTGTAACTCATCCCTAAATTTTTAAGTGTATTTAACATCTTGTCCCATTTAACATTATCATTGTAATCACTGTAAGTTATATACTGCGGATAGTTCAAATAAAACAGGATTGATGTAGTCCTGATTCGGGTCTATAGGCCCGAGAGGTGTCAGAGATGGAAGGGCCTATGAAGAAACTCACCACTCGTGCTGGCGAAACGTAAGGAAGTAACTCCAACCAACGATGTCCTTTAAATCCGTATTAGGTAACACATTATTATGGAGCTTTTGAACTTTAGAAAGCCATTTTAAAATGCGGAGAGGGTAGACTGCATTTCTGCTAGGTACCTTTTAAACTTCGCCACCACAAAGGGTTTGTCTAGTGTCAGCAAAATAGATACGTGCCCCGTGTAAATTCATTAAATATTTTAGATCACAAACCGCGATGGCTACTGTGCTGTAGTCGCTATTTAAATATTTAATTAATTTGGGTCAGCGCCCTCTCATCAGTGTAAAACAAATTTTATGCGTTTGATAAAGCAATTTATCTTTCCGGGGTTAATTAATAATCCTGCCCACAAAGTTCAGTAAATGCAACATACGAATTAAAACCGAAATGAAATTGAATTACAGGTAAACGTAAACAAATTATAGGTAGGTATTATAGGTGGTATGTCATAGACAAAGGTAGATAATTATGTAGTATGAATGATTTGTCTGGTCTGTCCTAGTTTTGTCTTTCTTTTCTAATAATGATAGTAATAATCGTTTTTTTCTTTCTCATCTTATATACCTCATGAACGTTCGGCTAAGGCTTGTTAAAGTTAATCAAATTTGAAATATATTAGAATGCATTTCGAAGTTGTCTGGTTTATCTTGGGTTTATCAACACCATTAGGCTAACAAACGTTCTTCTGAAGCAAGTATTTTCAGCAAGTTTAGGGTAGGAAGTTGTTCATAATTTAAAAAACTAACCTTTTAACTTTTGTAAACATTATCATCATAAGGTCATTAGTCTTAAAACTGATTGGACACGCACCTCCACTCTTTCCTATGATTATTATTGCACTTAGGGAATTTTGGGGCATGAATTAGCTTATTGAATTAATTGCTGATTTTAATATTCAGAACTCGGTCGGACTACATTAATTAATTAAGTACTGTTAGGTGTAAAACAGGATTCAAAAAGTTGGAAAGTTTTTCCGATACTTTGGCTCCAAGACAGATGATTAATTGCGCGCAATTGAAAGGGTTCCAAATTGTTTTTAGAAGAGGAAACCCGTTCGCAACTGATGGAAGACATTAATTTTTTCGCTGACAGTGTGCGTGGATTATTTTCAGCCGTTGGCTTTTATGAAAGAAAGGATGAAGAAACCACGTCCTGATTTTAAAAGTACTGGAAAGAGCGAAGGGAGAAGTGTTTAATTGCGAGCGTGCTTCTTTGTTTTCGTATCAGTTAGAAGGTTGGAAAAAGTAGCGAATGCAAACACCTACATGTATATATACATATATACATACGTACGTATATATGTATGCATTAAATAGGGTAGTAGTCGTGTCCTACATATTTGATGCAAGAGAGTCATTCTCGCGAGCTTACGCTCTAAAGACGGAGAGGAATTGAGACGCGGGAGACCGTAAAATCTCATCGTTTTCGGGAGAAACGCGACTTGTCTTGTTACAGTTGACGCTCCCATTGTGCCTAATGTAAGGAATATTTTAAGAAATACCGCCCACGCTTTTCTGCCTTTGAAGACGTTGCTACCACGAAAATTTCAACTGTTCGTATATTAAAATAAAGGCACCCTCCAATTACATTTTCTATCATTTCCTGTTCGTCTTCTTATATCTTGAGAGAGTCGCATCTTTTCTTTTTTATTAAAACATTTGGTTATTTATGCCTACTAATATAAATATTTAAAGAAGAAAATTTAATCATCATTGTATATTATTTATTATATCCGAAACGGAAAATTCATTATTAATTTGGAATAAAAATCAAGTTGTAGATATTAAATTCTGAATAATCCAAGACGCTTTAAGTTCCTGCAAAATTACAATTTAAAACCACAAATGCCTCACATAAATCACACCGTTTTAAGTTCCGTGATAATATTAGTATATTACGCACCTAGGAGTGAAAAGTAGATTAGAAATGTCTCAGATCGCATGTTTATTTGCTCCCTAGTGCGTAAGTATGTTATTTTCTACCACCCTTCGACTAGGAAGTTAATTTTTTTGGGTGAGTAATTCAGTGCAAACATGTTGCTTGCTCATCAACAGTAAAACTCTAAAAACTCTCGACTTGGTCAGAATAATAAATATTTCATCATCATCATCATAAGGTATTAAGTCCTAAGACTGGTTGGACACGTACCTCCACTCTTTCCTATCCTGAGCTAAACTTCGCATTTCCCTAAAACTAGAACAGGCCACATCCTAATCTAATCTAGGTCTATCTCTACCCCTCCTAACTCCTGTTTCTGCCTCTAATATGTCTCTGACTAGACCTTCATGCCTGAGAAGATGTCCTACCAACCTATATCGCCTATTTTTTATTTTCAACAAAAATTTTTTCTAAGCAAAGAGAAATGTAAATTAAAAAAAATGTTTGCATTAAAAGCAAACTACAATGCTGAAAACATGCATAAATTTTATATAGAAGATCTTATTCTTGGTTTAAAATTGTCACGATTCTCAGTTTGAGGGAGCGATTAGATGGGATAATAAGTATCGCCGACTGTCTAAAATTCATGACTGTAGTCTTAAGAGAGTATTCACATGTCGAGCAGAAACGTCTAATGCCTCCGACGTCGTCTTATCGTGCGATAGCATGAATTTTACAGAATCCCCTACATTTTGATCCTCATTCAATCGCTCCTTCAAGGGAAAAATCGTTTAGTTTGTTAGGCAATAAAATTCCTTGGATTTTTTTAAATTTAATTTTATCTTAACTCTAGATTTTGCAAGATAGATACACACACACACACACACACACACACACACACAGCTAATTTTGTTAGTAAAACTATTATATATTTATCTACTATTTTCTCCTTTGTTATTATATTTTTAGTAAGATAATGCTATAAATAATTTGGATAATTGCCATTAGTAGTAAAAAAAAACAAACTTACTCAGCTTCTTCGATTGTCTCTGTCATGGCAAGGAAGACGCAGTTGAGCAAAATGGTGGCCATGACAACGTAATCGAAAAACTGGTTCGTAGATATATAAATGCACGCACGTCTGATGGGGTTCCATGGGCTGAACAGGAAGAACGAATTTGTTGCTGTGAAACGATGGATGTAGTTTTTTCGAAAACGTTTCGACACCACGCAGAACGTCTGCAACAACAAAAATGAACATGAATTAACCGTTACCATTTACCTAATAGGTGCAACGACTACAAAATATTAACAACTATTTTAAAGTTCCTATCTGTGGAGTTGTACAAGGACCATACGAATCAACCTCGTATTGGTATTCATGTTTTGACAACTTTTGGGCAAATCTTAAAGGACCCCGATAGATCCTTACGAAAAATGGTCCGCTGTCAAACTGTTTAAAACTTTGGGAAGGTCAACGTGTAGATCAAAAGTCTCAGTGGGCGCTAAGTCATAAAAACTCATCTTTCTGAGATATGGTCCCTTAAACTTGCATTCTTCCGTAAGGACCTCCATAGTATTATTCCTATGTATGTGTTTGTTAATTACAAAATTAATATTGGTGTAGAACACCACGATGACAACCTGAAGAAAAGTGAAATTTTGAATAGAAGTAATTTATGCTTTCTCATACACCTTTTAATAGAAACTAGGACATAAAAGCCCATTGTCATACCCATTGTAGAGTTCGCAAATGATTTTTAAATTGTAGAGAAATTAAAACATTTTGTGTATATCCTTTAAATAACCTGTCGCAAATTAAAGCTACGAAAACGGTTGAAAAAGATAAATGGAATTGCTGTGCTTTCGCCTTTATGGGTCAGCAAACATAAACCGACGGGATTAAAAGGATAAAGATGTTCAACATCAAAAACTAACACTTCTGCTCTTGCCCCCAGTGATTTTGGCCCTTATCCAACCTTCAAGGGTTAACGTAAGCTTAAGGAAGGTTTCCTAGTAGCGCAGCGAGTTATTACCAGCGTAGGGTCGAGCATGTTTTTTGCTCTCACATGAATATTGGAAAACAATTATAATGGCCGATTTTTTATCTTCAAAGAAATATTCAAGTTGCTACTAAATTACTTTCGTTACATTGTAAAAGTGTCTTGCAACACAACTAATGGGCAATGAAAATCGTGTCGTATGTTGAAGGATACGAATAATATCCCTAAAAGAAATGGAATCCAATGCAATCAAAATTAGCAAGGTTGATAGCTGACGTTAAAAGTTATTATAAAGTTACTGTTTACTATACATCAATTTTTTACATTCGAATATGTAATACAAAGTTTTAGAAAAGTAATAGAGACAGCATAGCATTATCATGTTTAAATGAGTGCATATCTTGACGAACTTTATGCTAACATTTCGATGTGAAAAGGTCATTACGTTTGTTTTGTAAGTTGTTCGTTTGGATGAAGCTATGTACTTTTACGGAAAGTTTAAAATGCAAAGAGCTTCATACTTAGTTTGTTTTACGGCTTACGGCAATGAACATTAATCAAGGGAGGTAATCACGCATTAAACGTAGTTTCGTGTAGTTCCATTAAAATCAGTTGTTTCTTCATCCTTGCACTTGTTTCTTTGTTATGCTAACATGTTTATGTAATCAACACAGTAGTGTCATAAACTGAAATTAATTTAAGCGTTTAATTATTACTTTTGAAATTCGAAAAAGGTTGTTAAAGGTGTATGTTTGAAGCGCGGCGCTGTACGGGTGCGAAACATGGGCAGTTGGCGTGGCGGAAAAGAAAAGGTTAGAAGCGTTCGAAATGTGGTGTTACAGGCGAATGATAGAGAAGGTTAGAAATGAAGAGGTGCTAGAAGGAATATGAGAATAGAGGACTCTATGGAAGTCGATAAGAAATAGGCGAGATAGGTTGGTAGGACACCTTCTCAGACATGAAGGTCTAGTCAGAAACATATTAGGGGCAGAAACGGGAGTTAGGAGGGGTAGAGGTAGACCTAGATTAAATTACTGTTCGCAAATAGTTAAGGATGTGGGTTGTTGTAGTTTTAGGGAAATGCGAAGATTAGCTCAGGATAGGAAAAAGTGGAGGTACGTGTCCAACCAGTCTTAGGACTGACGACTTTTTGATGACGATTAATTATAAGTAGGTAGAGAGACCAACAACTTATTCGCCATTATAAACTTAAGAAACTGCAAAATTGAGAAAAATTACTAGTTTACGTGACATAAAAATTTAAAATAAATAAAAGACCGATGTAGGAAACTTGAAGACAATAAGTTTTTATGCTTGAAATAGGAATTACAACAAACTTTGTAAGCCTCTGAACTCGAAAGGTCAAAGTTCAAAACTGGAACATTGTTGTACCTGCTAGGTATTAAGGAAAGAGCCAAGCTTAAGGCACTCAAAGATTTTAATGTAACAACAAATTTTAATGCTTAAAAACTCTCAGCCCTCTTTATCCTCAGTATCAGATGCCTTCACTGTTATTATTATTTTCTCAATTACAGAATTAATGCCTTTATAAATTAAAGGGAAATAAAAATCATTTTTCGTGAAAAATCATATTTAAGACAAAACTAATGCCTAAGGAATTCATTGCAGTTTTCTGCTGTAAAAAGCGAATTCATCATGATGCATGTCTTTATTTATCATACTTTAAACGCATCTAGCTTGATCTAAGACGGCTTTGCTAGAGTTGTGGTCAGGCGCAAGTCAGTGAAAGCTTGCACCGAACCGATTATGCCGAATAAAAGTAACCGCGGAATGGAGAGTTAGCGTTATACAAAGATAGACTAAAATAGTGAATATTGTGTTTAGATATAGTGTATATTAATATTGTAATCGAAAACCCAATCGAATTAATCGTAAATGCGATTTTTATTCGCAATTAGCAATGATCCTTGTGCGATGGTTATTACTTATTGCTATAGACTGTACAGCCATGGTGAATATTACACTATTTCGCATGCGTGAAATTCTGTCATTTGTTTACCTACCAAAGAAATACCCATGGTTTCGTTATTTAAAGTGACTTATATTATTAAATTTGCTATTTTATTGATACTTAATGATTATTTATTTAGACAAAAAATTTCTTTAACGCGCGTCGCGGTACCTCGTTTCCGTGAGTGTTGTGCTCGAAATTGGTCTACAATCCTGATATTGCTGTGATAATACTGTAAGTTTTTATTTAACTTATGACGAAGGCGTAAAAGAGTCAAACACAATTTGAAATTTCTACTTGTAGCTCGAAATTTCGTCTTGCAACTCGAAATTTCGACTTAACTCTAAATGCTTATTGAATCGCAACCTGACGTAATCTACCTCAATCGCAACTTAAATTAAGGCAGTTTTAAGAATGGACAAGATTACTACAACACTTATGTCGTTTGTGTTGTCTTTACCTACTGCAACCTTATGATTACAATCAATTGAGTAAAAGCTTCAATTAGATTAGAATCATAATTTTAGGGTAGGTAAAGACAATACGAACGTAGTGAATGCTGTCGTAATCGTGTATTTGTTTCGTTTCTAACCCAATAGGCAATGGAATCACAGACAACAATCGTCATATCACTGATGGGTAAAATTATGATTCGGTTTAGACGTTTCGTCGGCAGTTACGTCTGACATCTTCAATTGCGAACGAAACGTTCGGACCTTGATTCCGGCCGTGAAAGCCTATGTTCTTATACTGAAGGGTAACTCAATATTCAACTTAAAACTTCAAATTGCATGCCGAAATTTGAAAAAAAGATTGTTTGACATTTCTACGTCTTCATTGTTTATTGCTGTTTACTAACTTTTTAATCCTGCCGCTTATGAAAAGCTTTAGCGGCGATATGGTAACATTAAGATGTTGTTACATCTATACATATCAAAAAGCTCTGAGAATAAACGTATGAACTTGTCTGGCGAATTTCAGGATAAATTTTTGAAAGGAAAGTTAAAGTTCAACTAATGTGATTTTCTTTTGTAATTGTTTCTTTGATTAAAATGAATTGTATATTCTGTATTTATGATGACTATCTTGATACCTAGGAAGTCAGATAAGTCAGGATGGAAGGAGTAGTAGGGATATAAAGCAGAGGATAGTGCAGGGTCGTGTCGCCTTCAGCAAGAAGAAGTCACTTCTATGCTCGTGAACGGTTAATTTAGAAATTCGAAAAAGGTTGTTAAAGGTGTAAGTTTGGAGAAGGGCGTTGTACGGGTGCGAAACATGGACAGTGGGAACGGCAGAAAAGAAAAGGTTAGAAGCGTTCGAAATGTGGTGTTATAGGCGGATGATGAGGATAACGTGGGTAGAAAAGGTTAGAGATGAAGAGGTATTAGAAAGAATAGGAGAACAGAGGACTCTATGGAAGTCAATAAAAAATAGGCGAGATAGGTTGGTAGGACACCTTCTCAGGCATGAAGGTCTAGTCAGAGACATATTAGAGGCAGAAACAGGAGTTAGGAGGGGTAGAGGTAGACCTAGATTAGATTACTGTTCGCAAATAGTTCAGGATGTGGGCTGTTCTAGTTTTAGGGAAATGCGAAGTTTAGCTCAGGATAGGAAAGAGTAGAGGTGCGAGTCCGACCAGTCTTAGGACTAACGACCTTATGATGATGATGATGACTACAATTAGACTTAACGATTGGCAGTAAGTATATACCTACTCCCTACTTTTTTGTGGATTATCTCATGTTTATAAAAATGCATATACCCATCTAAACAAGGAAATGGCGTACTTAATCGCTTTTTTGACAGCAGGTATTCATGAGAAAACTCAATCAGTGTTGAACCTAAGTAAAGTGACACACGAGAAATGCCTCAGTCTATTACACATTTTTGGACTTGTCGCCTGCACCGTAGGTGGTTAGAACAACTCAAGATTTCAAACAGAGATAAATTGGTCGGAAAATGCACGGAAGCCCCTAAATTACTACCTTTGATGACGTCGCTGTAAACGAAATAGAATTCGTTAAAACCCTATTTACCTTTTAACACGCAAGCGTTTACGTAACGTGCTTCGTCTTTCGTACTTCCTTGAGTTTGCTTAACAATTTCAAGGTGGACGGAAAATAGAAAACGAACTTCACCTACATACAGTACAACCTCGATAATCCGAACTAATTATTGCAAACGATTGTTTTGTTCGGATTATCAAAGAACATTACATCCAGATATTTATATATAGACTTTAGTTTTTAAACAAATGTGGAACA